AAATCACCAAATTAATTAAATTTAATAAATTATTAATATGATATAAAAGTTAATGTAATACAATAAATTTAATTTATCATTGAATTTATTATGTTTAGCTCATTAAAAAATTTAATTATTAATACTTAATTGTATTACATGACATAATTACGTATTATTTATATTGTATATATACAATATACATATATATTATTTTCTTTTACAACAATTATTAAAATTACATATCTTCTATTCTCTCATATTTGATCGTGATAAATTTTAGATCGTTTAGCCCTATCCGAAAAGCAGTCTGAAATCGAGTTCGTGTAGAGAGCGAATGGCTTATTCACGAGAACAATGGCTTCGAAGATGCGATTCTATTTCGAATAATGTAACAGGACGGGCGGGCGAGTGGACAGGGCAATTTAACGGCGGCGTATTCTAAAGTTGGCGAAGCAATCGTATGCTGTTGTACCGAGCAATGCACAAGTAATCCAACTAATTGCGTTGACTATGCGTTCATAACGATGACGTGACACGACACGTATACTACGTGGACTTCGCGTATGACGGCGAGGGTAGAAACGAAAAGAGATTTCCTCCACTCTCCATCCCCCTTTATGAGATATCATCTATCCGCTTGTCGTAGGCTTCCAATGCGTGTCACATGCAGTCCAATCGCTAATGAAACGAACGGAAGATGATTTCTTTATTACCGTTTTTTATATTTGTTGCGACATTTGCGACATCGCTTAAGCCTGTTTTACAATAAAGTCGTAAGTTGTAAGCCGTAAGAAATTGGCCAATCACAGTTGAATATGACACTAATAATCGACTATGATTGATTAATTTCTTATGGCTTGTGACTTTGCGACCATATTGTAGAACAGGCTTTAAAGAAATCTACCCTTCCTTCGTGCCATGCAGGGTTTCGTTGAGCCGACCAAGCAATTTACACGACACACGGGACCGTTTCTAATTGGAATTACAACCATGTGACATACACGTGATATACAATACACACACATGTATTGTGTGTGTATGTATGTGTATATATATATATATATATATATATACTCTAAATTCTTTGGAGTAAAATCTCACTCTAAAGATTGAAAATTAAGCTAGTCTTGGAAAAGAATGATTCAATTTTCAATCTTTAAGAGTTAGATTTTATTCTTCAGAATGATAATTAGCTCTAAAAGTCTTAGTAAAAAATATTAGATATTTTATTAACCATTATTTAAAGTTTTAGCTCAAAAATTGATTTGTGGCATTTGCTGTAAATTATCTTTGTTTCAAAAACCCTTTAAATTTATGTACAATATCAGTAATCAATAGATAACAATACAGATAAAAAATTGCAGATAAATAAAAACTAGATGTCTAATATTTTTGGTCAATACATATGAACACGTCATATTGACTAATTATACGTTTATTGGACGTACTCAACGAATTGTTTAGTGACAAGTAGACTGACAGGCGGAAGATAGCCGGAAGGGTAGATGGGAGCGAAAAGAAGTAGGTAGAATTCATTAGAAAATTGAAACTAGGGGGAGAGGAGTCGGAGGATACGTGAATAAGCAAACCGCACCAAGGAGAGACCAAATTATATCGCTTAATGAGATATAATTACCTATTTGCTTTGTATTTATTTTAATCGTTAATTAATTATTGTATTTATTGGCGCGGAGGCTGACACGTATATGCATAATTTTCGGGAGACACGTTAATCACATGAAAATACACGCACACATACAAATGTGCTCGGCCGAGTGACCATCACCCAGATTATTCGAAGAAATTATTAGAAATCTTTTAATTGTTATAAAAAAGCTTTAATGTTTTATTCTTGTTGAGCAAAGTGACTCAAGTACAGAACGACTGAAGGGATAGACTCGCATGTGAATCATCAGACCAAAAGAATCTCTCTTCTATTTTCTTTCTGTCGTTCTTTTTATATAATAGAGATCGATCAGCAGAAAGCGTTAAAGTGTCACGCGAAAGCAATGCGTAATTTACAATAACATATAACGATTTATGCTAAAAATGTAATATCGTGGGACTGAAAAAAATTCACGTTTTTGTACAAAATTATATTGGACATAAATGTTAAAAACATGTCATTATTGATCATTAAAGTTTAGAAAAGCGTAATAGAGTTTGATTTATTGTTTTTTTTGACATCACTGCGATCGAACTTTACTATGCCCAAATTTGGGATCATATAAAAAATATATTGCGTTAATCATGTGAAAATAATGAAAAATATCATATTTCATGTAAATCTTTTTAACTGTTTTAACGATATTGTGAACAATGATTAATGCTTTCGGCCGTGCGCATTGTCCATCGTAGCAATACAACTTCCTCGTTAATTGCGAATTATTTATTTCGTCGTTGGTACACACATACACAAACAACATTTTCGACATTGTAGCGGAGAGAAGGAAGTACAAAATTTACACATAGCGAACGCACGAAGTGACTTGTAATACTCCTTCGACGAATGTATCTCGTAAACGTTCCAGATGCCTCACCTTGTACACCAAGTATTCAATATAAACGCAGAACTTTAATAGTTACACTATTCCATCCCCTTTTATTACTCACGTTGCCAAAAAGAAATTCCGTGCGAATTGTCATTAAAAAAAAAAGAGAGAAAGAACGATCGTGTGTCGAGATGAGTCGTTTCTCGTCAACGTACTCTTCTTTTTTTTTCAATTTCCTTTCAAGAAATCTCACCCATTATTTTCGGTCGATCGTAACGTGAGTCGAGGACTATTCCTTGACTCCATCTTAATTTTGCTCCGTATGCGTCTAATCAGCTAATATTTTTCGTCACTTTGCACGCATTTCATTTTTCTTTTCGCTCCACGAAAATGTGTTGCGAAAACCGTTTATTTTCTTAACAAATCAGCGCAGCCTTTGACTCTTACACCATATGCGAAGAGAGGAAGACAAAATAATAATAAAACGTATCACGTGAGACAACGGCGACAGGGGAGATAAAACGTGGGAAGAGAAAGACCCGTGACAATATATACATATACATATATATATCTATATATTTGCGAGATATTTTGTGAAACAGGGCTTTTTTACCTATTTTATAGTAATCTCAGCTTAAACGGATTGAGAGAGTGGGAGCGAGAGAGAGAGAGAGAGAGAGAGAGAGAGAGAGAGAGAGAGAGAGAGAGAAAGAAAGCCTTTACTAAAAATAATAAATTAAAATGATGTAACGAGGATGTTGTCATGAAATGACGTATTAAGCAGTTGATGAGCGGTCTGTAAATGCGTACATACATAGCATAAATGCCGTCGTTTAATGGGGACGGTTTTACTATAACGTGTACCCTATATTTTTGTTTATGTTTTGCGCCTTAGATTTAGCATTATTACTATTATATTCTAATTATTATTAATTATTTTGATTATTCTATATTATGTTTAAGATTCTTATTAATTATTATTATTATCATTGTGTATATGGTATAAATTGTAAAAAGGAACATATTTACTATATCATATTCATTTTACGGGGTCACTCCCCCGAATGAACAAATTGTTTAAACTAAAATGAAGGAATAAATAAAATATTGACCAAATTAAGGGTGGAGTTCTTTTCTGCCGACCTCTCTCTTATTCATTCCTCCATTATCTTATTTACAAGTACATAAGATATGTACCCACATCGGTAAATTATGAGACCTTTCGAATCTGTGTTTCTTTTAAAATTCGCAGATCATTTTTTCTATGAACGTTATGAAAACTATTAAAATCGACATTTTTTTCGCCTTTGACGTTTTTTTTTCAGAATTGTGACATACAAAAATAGACAAATATGAATAATGAATGTATATATGAAATATGAATGCAAAAATTAAAATAATTAAAAAAGTTTTTTCAGCTCAAACTACTGATAAACAGCAGCTTCAACAAATACATCAGGATGCAAATGTCGAAACAGCATTTTCAGTTAGAGACTGAAGAGTATGATATAAAAGACAAACAATCAGTCGTCTATACTTGTCATTTAATACCTTCTTATTTCTTTCTTTTTCCACTTATTCGTATTTTAAATAATATTCTACATTTAATGAAATATCTTGTGTATATATCTATTGCACTTATATATATATTATTTGTTTTGAGAACACGTCATTAATAAAATTTAATTAAAGACATATGCATATAATTTATTGTCTATAAGTCTATATTATACATATTTATAATTATATTTTATTGGTTTTTAAGAATAATATCAACGTTTAAAGATAATGTTTTATCTATCATAGTATTACTCATAATAAAAATGTAAAAAAAAATAAAGTCTTAAAGTTATGATTTATTTTAGCTTGTTTCTAATTGCATTTAAATCTTGCCGATAATTTTTGAGAATTTAAATTTTTGCAATTTAAAGTCCAGAATTTTTGAAAATTAAAATATTTAAAAATATTTTTATTAACAAGGAAAATATTTTTGAAAATTTCGAAAAATTTCTAGAATTTCTGTCCGCTATAATATACGACTCTATTCAATCTTGACATGAAAGTATCATACTAATGTTTATATAAACACTTTATCAAAGTCAACAATACATTTTTTGTCCATTTTCAGTTATATATAATCGTTGAATTTATTTAAATGTATCATATGTTAATGAGTATTATGAATATATTAATGAGTATATGCGAAATATGAGTATATATGAGAAATAATAAAAAACAATAACACTTAGTTGAACTATATATGAGAATTTTTTTAAAGAATAATTAAAGACTAGATTATAAATTATGGAGAGTGCTTTTAGAACATATCGCACGTTTATCCTTTTCACCTTTTTATAAATACAAGCAGATATATAAATTTGTATATAAACAGCATTCGGAGCACTAACTTGATTGACTTGTCTTTTTTCTGTTGTACATTTTGGATGTGGATAAATTCGAAACGGAATTACAATATCTCTAAAATCTTAATTTTTGTATCTTTAATTATCAGGATATTTGGAAAACATGTTTCGACATTTCGTAGTGATAGCAACACTCGTCGTACTCAACGTTTCGTTTCGAAGGTAAGCATGTATAAACGTCGATTTGTGATAAATATTTCAACGACAATTAGGGCAAATTTTTAAAATGTACTTGTATGTAATTTGTACATCAGAGTAAAGTGGATAGAAAAACCAAGAATATCTTTACAAATAGGGAAATATCTCGTGCAAATTCTTCGAATATACAGTACTCCATTATTTCTAAAGATATGTTTAAGATTTCCTTCGATTTGTAATTTTTTGTAATTTAAAATAGAATCTTACGATGCTCGATTTCTTGAATGATAAGCATGCATGTATGCTTTGATGCATACAGTCTGACGTTTGACAAATAACTAGGAAATTAGCAATTGTTCTTTTAGATGACATGAGAACAGAGAAATTGGCATTTATTTCTTAATAGTAACGCGTTGAGGCTTTAGTAATTTTCAAAAATAAGAATAATTTGCAGATGATTAATCAATTCGTATATATATCTTATACGATATTTGTATATTTGCGTTTATGTGACACATACATACGTCAATATGTATATGTAAAATATAATATGGAATTTTATTTATATTGTTTCAAGAATTGTGTTGCATAAGATAAACTTCCGGCAAAAATCGATTGATACAAATTTTGATCGACTGACTCGTGAAACTTATATTGCAAGAAAGCAACCTCTGTTTAGTGATGGGGATATTGCATACTATGGTAACATTACAATTGGAACTCCACCGCAGAAGTTTAATGTACTTATAGATACTGGTTCCCCAGATCTCTGGATACCATCCATAATTTGTGAACTCACAATGAGCAACCGTGTTTGCAGTAAGTATATCATAACGTCGTTATATCTTCAATATTCCATTATTTGTAAAAGTATATTTATATTTAATAATATTATTGCGTATATAAAAATAATTTTGTTGCTTTTTTTCTACTTTAATGGTTGACGTAGAACGGTAGAAATATAGAATAGAGACAATGTAAAATTGTATCCTTTCTATTCACATTTCAAATAAAATTTTTTTAATAATTTAAAATTTAAAAGTTTTAATGCTTAAGAAGTTAAATCATTGAGCAGATAACTATTATGCAACTGAGTTTCTCTATTATGTGAGATTTAATTTAGATATTTGTCACACTTATATTCTCAAGGCACAAATAATTTTTACATGATTTTATAAATCGTGTATTAAAGTAAAAAATATAAATATTCATACATTTGATGATTTAAACTATTGTTAATTATACATATATCATACTGATACAGAAAAATTTATTTCTAAAATTTGTAATATATTAACTGATTTACTTTTACGTATTATATTTTACACAGTGATCCATAATAAATATGATAACAAAAAATCCAGCACATATAGACCAGATGGTAGACATTACGGAATTCAGTACGAAAATGGTGCTGTTAGTGGATTCTTATCAATTGATGTAGTGAATGTGAGTCGTCATCAAGCAAATAGTTTTATTTAGTCCCAATTGTTAATTATAAAAGTGTTTTAAAGAAACACGTAATTTTTTTTATAGATTGCAGGCGTTGATGTTGAAAATCAAACATTTGGGGAAATAACACGGCAGCACGGAAAGTCCTTCGAATATGCAATGTACGACGGAATTTTGGGACTGAGTTATCCAACATTAGCTTTTACAGGAGCGACTCCACTTTTTATCAACTTAATTAATCAACGGCTAGTGAAGAATCCAATTTTTAGTTTCTATATTGAACGGCACGTATATTTCTGTATTACACGTGTTTAAAAAATATTTTTTCTCTTAAATAGTTTGTTTTCTCATACTCAACATTTGTTCTTTCACATTAAACAATATTAATCTATACAGAAATCCTAATGTCAGTTGGGATGGTGAACTGATATTGGGAGACTCCGATGACAGGCTTTACTTAGGCGAATTTACGTATGTTGATGTTACTCAAAAGGGATTTTGGCAATTTACTTTAGATAAGTACGTTATTATTTTTTAAATTGTACGTATGTTACAATTATAGCACAATTATATGCCAGATAAATATTAGTATTATCTCACTGTAGGATTAAAATGGAAGATAAGATTTTATGCGCGAATAGCTGTCAAGCTATTGCCGACACGGGTACTTCTCTGATAATTGGACCATCAACAGATGTCACAATTATTAATAGACGGATAGGAGCTAATCATTATAATTTTACGAGAGGAATATTTGTAAATAGTGACATTTATCACAATGGCAATTCTCTTTTAATATTAAATAAATTTAATAGATTATATTGAAATATATTAATAGAAATTTGATATATTATTGATTATACTAACACAATTTACTAATACTAAGCTTTATTTAAAGGTGGACTGCAACAAGACTTCTAATTTACCCAATATCGATTTCATCGTAGGTGGTTTTAAAAAACTCAGACTCTCTGGTGAAGATTATATTATTAGGGTAAATATCTTCAAATATGTGACGGTTTAAATTTTCTTAGAATCGAAATGTCATGCCATATTTGATTCGTTATAGGAAATATATAAGAATGAGATGGTGTGTATGAGCGCCTTCGTGAGTAACTATCAGAGTGAGGAAAATCCAATGTGGACTTTGGGCGATATATTTTTACGTCGATATTATACCGAGTTCGACATGAAGCATGACCGGATAGGATTCGCCTGTGCGAAGTCTAGTGTATATTAAGAAATTCATTTCTCTTTACACATTTTTATAGATAAATGTTGAAAGATCTAAACTACAATAATAGGCGAATTATTAAGATAAAGTTTATGAAACAATGATTCCTATGTTTGTTACCTTATAAATTTTTGTGATTGTTTATGCGATTCTTAGATATGTATGTGATACTTTCCAAAATCACAACAGAAATGTATATATAATATTATTCTTATTAATGATTTAGTACAATCTATTCGTTTAGCATAATATTGTTTTATGACATGATATTATGAATATATCGAAGATTATTAAAATAAAGTATACATTCCTGTCATATATTGTAGATATGTTGATTTCATATACCGACCCTTCAATTTTACTTAAATATGATAATTCAAAAAGTACTATTTCATATTTTATAAACATTTGTCTTTTATATAAGTATCTTTTTTAATATTTTTATTATAAATATTATAAATTTGCATTTAAACATATTTTTAAAACTTACAAGTACAAGGAACTATTACAGATAGTGCTGAATAAAATACGACAAAAAAATATAATCGGACCGACGTAAGAACTTTTCAACACTAAGATCGCTTTTAAGTTACAGAAATTAATCATAATACAATATCAATGCACAATGATAATATCTAACTCAATAATAATAAAAGAAAATGGCTAGAACAGTAATAGTTAAACATTCTGTGGAATGTGTCATTTATGCAACATTTTCTCATTTTTCTCGCAAGAATTGATTTATAAAAGAATTTAACTCATTAGTATAATGACCAAACTTTACGGATGTCATATAATTATGTGTCAACTTGATCTTGGATTTAATAATATCTTGATCCTTAATCTTATAGTATAATTGGTATTCCTTATATAAACAATGTTTGTTGAATTCTTAATGAATTCCTTATATTTTTTCTTACATAACCTTTGCGTAGCGTGATACCATTACGGAATTTAGCATTCGTTTTAATTGATCCGGTTTCATCTTTATTATGATTAATTGAATCTTATAGTCCTTAAGTGACTGCTTTATTGAGAAAACCAGATTTTTTTGTATATTTTGTTTATTTTTAAAGAAAATGCAGTATTTTCCGTAAATTCTTTAGGTTTCATAATAATATAGATTTGTACACAAGTAATATTACAGAATTTCTGCTCTCTTGTACATTTGTTAATTAACTTATAATTGCTTATTAGCTTATAATTAGTTCTAAAGTCTATTTTTTAATTTATTAAACATACCTTTTGGACGTATCTCATGATGCGAAAACAAAGTTCTAATTAAATGTTAATTATGAGTATTTTATACATGTTTATAACGTATGTGCATAGTTACAATAATGTATTTTAAGTTAGCATAATATTTTAAGATGCTTTTACATAATTTATATAATATAAAGTAACAGGCAAAAATATAAAATTCCATTTCGTTTTAAGACAATCAAAAATTAATATGTTTACAATGTGTTTTATCAAACGGAAAGTATTTTTTTCATATTATACCACCGCTTGCATAAGCCTATGATATCAAGGAAAGCAATACATATTTTCGAAGATTGATATTTTATCTGTTTTTCATTAATCATTGAATTTATTAAATTAAAATACATAAACACACTAATATTATACGTATAATCGAAATATGTGCGAAAAGAATTTTTCAAAAAATTAGTTACAGGTTAGATTAATGAAAAGAACTATTATAATCGCTTTTAGAACGCTTTGCGTCCTTTTTTGTCTTCACACTTTTAAATAAAAACATGTACATACGTAAGCTTGTACCATGACGCTTCGCTTTTTATAGCGCCGAAACACTACCGTGTCTTCAGACATAAGCAGCATCGCATATATACGATATATATAAGCGCTAATGATTGATTTTGTTTTTTTTTTCTGTTGTACGGTTCGGCTGTAGCCTAATTTGAAAAGAAGTTACAACGTCTCTGAAACCTTCTTGATTTTTGTAGCTTTAATTATCAAAGAATTTGGGAAACATGTTTCGTTTTTCTGTTGCAGTCGCAATATTCGTACTGATCGACGCGAAAATGTTAAGGTGAGCAAATGTAAACGTTCATTGGCAGTAAATGTTACGATTATTAGAACAAATCTATAGAAAAATGTACTTTGTCCGAGTAAAATCGGCAGGTAAAGAAGTTTGAGGTTTGCATTTTTATCGTCTTTGTCACATCTTAAATCACATATAAGCCTCACAAATGAAGCAATTTGCATTTAAAAGACCTAAACTTTAATCCCGATAGCAGTTATTTCTTAATATCAAAATATTAAAGCTTTAATAGTTTTTAAAAATATACAATATTTGATTTTTTCAAAATTTGTTTATACATATGTTGTATGATTTATATGTATATGCGTATTATTCGCTTAAGTGGTACTTTTTTATTGCTTTTCAAGGATTCCATTGTACAAGACACACTCTATTCAAAAATCTTTGAAAGAATCTGACATCCATCGTCGACAGGTTACTTTGGCTCCGAATATTGGCATTGTAAGGAAACCTCTGTATAATGATTATTCTGCGTACTATATTATTATCTCAATTGGAACTCCACCGCAGAAGTTTAAAGTCCTAATTGACACTGGTTCCTCAGATCTCTGGGTACCATCCAAAAAATGCCGTCTTAGTTGCTGTAAGTATGGCTATGTTTCAAAATTAACTGAAAAAACCATTGAAAAACTATAGTGCATGTAATGCAGTAAACTACAGGTTTTCAGTACTATACTAGCAGTGAATTTTCGAACACAGCCTGTATCATATAACATCGCTATTTCTTTGATATTCTATTATTTAAAATGCTTATTAATATCATTATCAAAATTGACAGTTAATGTGATTTGTGATATTATTTCGATCCAGCTTTAGTTTTTTATGATTACACTTTAAATTCGGCAAACCGAATTAGAACGTAATTTATAAAATTTAAACAAAATTCTCAACTTATAACTCTCGAGATTGTCAAACAAAATTACATAAATAGGCTAATGAGAGTCAAATTTGCGGTGAATTATGCAATAAATTATTTAATACATGATACTTATACATTAATCTTCATACGTCACTTCAGCCAAGATTTCTCTATTATCTATTTGTTTCACACTGAAGATGGCCCGAATGATGGCTGAAACGTATGAAGATTAATGCATAAGTATTATGTATTAAATAATTTATTGCACACACAATTCACCGCAAATTTGACTCTCATTAGTCTATTTAAGTAATTTTGTTTATAAAATTTAAAATTGTTATCGAAAATTTTACATATAAAGCATTATTTAGCACCAAAGTTCATTTTAACCATTTTGAAAACTAGAATGTTTCTTTTAATTTGATTTATTCTTTGGTTAAAATTTCACTTATAATCATTTCATTATTTATACAAATATATTTGTATTTAATATTCTTATTGTACATATGAAAATAATTTTAACTGTTTTTTTACTTTAATAATTATTAAGTATGATTCCAGAGAATTGTATCTCTCCATTCACATTTTACGTGAAATTTTTTAAACGGTTTAAAGTCTGAAAGTTTCTAAGACTTTAAAAATAAAAATCATTAAATAGACAAAATATTATGGTATTATATATGTTCAAAATCAAGCGGTTTATTCTGTTTATTTTATTTTATGCTTATTTTGTAAATATACAAATGCTCTTTGATAGATCTAAAATGCAGCTCATGTATTAAAGTAAAAAATATAAGTATTAATATATTTGATGATTTAAAATATTATTCATTTACATACAGTGTAATGAAGAGAATTTCATTTCTAGAATATTTAATAATAACTGATTTACTTTTATGTGCTATTTTTGACAGCGTCACATAATAGATATGACAATAAAAAATCCAGCACATACACACCAAATAATATTCCGTTCAATATTTCATACATCGGTGGTAGTGTATATGGATACTTATCTACTGATGTAGTGAATGTGAGTAATTATCAGGCCAGCAGTCTTATTCCATCTCAGTTACATTTTATAAAGATTTTCTAAAAAAAACCTTAACTTTGCAGTTTGCTGGCTTTGATGTTCAATATCAAACATTTGGAGAAGCGATAAGGGAATTGGGATCCAATTTTGTCCATTGGAAATTCGATGGTATCTTAGGAATGGGTTACCTCGAGATATCTTCCAAAAGAATGACTCCCGTTTTTATAAACATGATAGAACAAGGCCTGGTAGAGCTACCAGTTTTTAGTATCTATATAAATCGGCATGTGTCTAACAATATTTTTAAATAGTTTGCCTTCTCTCTTATACAAAATTTGTTCTTCCATATTAAAAAAATATTATTTTTCTATATTAAAAAATATATAATCTATACAGAAATCCCTTGTACGCAGTAGGTGGTGAATTGATATTGGGTGGTTCAAATTTCGCTCGTTATGAAGGCGAGTTTACGTATGTTAATGTGACCCGCAAAGGATATTGGCAATTTACTATGGACAAGTACGTGATTATTTTCTAAATTATGCGTATGACGATTTATACAGATTATATTGGGCAATAAAATTTAATTTTTTGTTTTTATCGTGAATATGAACAGGAATTTCGGATTTTTGTCTATTGAACATGAATCAGTTTGTTTAACACCTTTTTGACGCCTTTTTTTTTTATTTTAAAACGTAATAGTCAAGTTTAAATAACAAATTCGTATTTAGCAGATAAAAATACATCGAAAATGACTATTCGATCATTATTGTATTGCAAGATTTGATGATTTTGATGAGAGGCGTTGGACAGTGATATCAGAGATTATTAATATTTACAATCATTTATAAGACTGATTATTAATATTTACAATTAATATATTATGAAAACCAAAGCTAATATTCAATTTGACATATTCGTTACCAGTACCACAAAATTAATAAGAATTGGCTGTTTTAATACAGCCATTAGGATACATCTTCATTGTTGCCTAGTTATACACCATCTAATTATTAATGCTGTCATAATGTGTAGAGTTCAAATAGGAGGTAGTACTGTATGCGCGAATGGTTGTCAAGCTGTCATCGATACGGGCACCTCCACTCTAGTAGGACCATCATGGGATATCGCTACTATTAACGAACAGATCGGAGTTATTGCTCCTAACGGCGAAACAATTGTAAATAATAGATAACAACTGTTCGCAATAGCAATTCTTTTTCAATATTTTAAAATAAATTACTAAAATAAATAGATAAATTACTTTAAATACGAAGCGCCACTACGGTCTGAATGTTAAAATGTTGAACTATTATATATATTCATTTAAATGAATTAATTTCAGAAATTATAATTGCGGGCTATAAGTTTATTACAGTTTTTAAAAATTAAATTTGGGAAATTTGGGGGAATTATTAATATTTCAGATTGATTACGTTGAAAATCCAACAACCATATTGGCACGCAATTATAATTTCTGAAATTAATTCATTTAAATAAATATATATAATAGTTCAATATCTTAACATTCAGACCGTAGTGGCGCTTCATATTTAAAATAATGTTTCTAACATAAACGGTCTTATTTCTAATCTTATTATTGTAAATAGATAAATGTTTGATATATTACTAATATAGATTACTAATTCTAATCCTTTATTAAAGGTGGACTGTGACCAGATTTCTAATTTGCCCAATGTCGATTTCGTCATAGGTGGTAAAATATTCAGTCTCACTAGTAAAGATTATATATTAATATTTAAGGTAAATATATATTGTCGAATAACGGTTTAGAATAGAAATATTGTTACAAAATCATTTTTGATTGTTTTAAATTGTTTTATAATAGAAAATATTATGCTTATTTAATTTATTGTAGAATAAACAAAATGAGATGGAATGCATAAGCTACTTTCAGAAAAATTATGTAGAATATCCGTCATGGATTTTGAGCAATGTATTTATTCGACGATATTATACCAAGTTTGATATGGGGCACCACAGAATGGGATTTGCCCCTGCAAAATAATTATCGATTGACTTTCCAAGATCACTTCTAAATGTTAGAAGACTTAAATGACAGTAATAAGTGAATAATTAAAACAAATTTTTTTGAATAATGATTTCTATTCATAGCTTATTTTCTATTTATAATTTATTTATATATTTTAAACGCATTTCCTAAACAACATTATTCTAAAATAAATGAAATATCTTATATGTATGGCTTAAGTATATATTATCTGTTCTTGATTTTGAGATCACGTTTACATATTTGATCAAGGATGTATATAATTCGTATTTTACATATTTATAATTATATTCTGGTGAGTTTTAATAATATTTCAATATTTAAACATAATGTTATTATATCCATCATAATCTTACTTATAATGTAAATGTAAAAAAAAAAAATAATTTTTTTTAAAATTGAAATATTTATTTTACTTTATTCCTAATTACATTTCAATATCTTACCAATTATTAAAAAAATTTAAGTCTTTACAGCATAAAATCTCAAATTCTTGAAAATGTAGAAAATTAAAAAAAATTTTAAATCATTTTTGACATTAAGAATATTCTCGGAAATTTCGAAAATACTTAGAATTTTGAAATGGTTTATTGCAATGTATGATTATTTAAGCTTAATGTGGAAGCATTATAATATTGATTAAACTATCCTATCAAGGCAATAATATTCTTTCAAAGATTAATTTCGTCTTTTTCAATAATCATTGAATTTATTTAAATTCATCGAAACACATTAATGAGTATATATGAAATATGCGTATATGAAAAATGTAATTAAAAAAAATATTATAAATTAAATTGAGCTATTAAGATTGCTTTTAGAACGCTTCGCGCATTCTGTCATACTTTTTACTCTATTACAAACACAAGAACGTACATACATAAGCTTGTATATAAACAATATTTATATTGGGAATACTAATGACCAAGTACGTCCTTTTTCTGTTGTGCGTTTTGACTGTGAAGAGAAAGACTTCGCGCGAAAGAGAATTACAATGTCCCTAAAATCTTTTCGATTCTTGCAGCTTTAATCATCAGGAAATTCGAAAAACATGTTTCGACTTTTTGTGACGGTCGTCGCACTCGCCGTACTGATCAACGCGGAATTGCGAAGGTGGGCTGAGCATATGTAAACGAAGATTCGCGACTAATACTTCAACGATAATTAGAACAAATTTATGATAAAATGTACTTTGTATGACAGATAAAAAAATGCTTGAGGTTTTCTTCGAGGCTTACACTTTTTTTTATCATGGCTTAAATGAGAGAAGCGTCGAATATAAAACGAATATAAAATAACTAAATATCATGTAATACATAAATTGATAAATAAAGATAGTATTTATTTATTGACACTAAATTATTGAGGCTTTATTAATTTTCAAAATTAGGAAGCGTTTGAAGATGATCACTCAATTTGTATATATTGTATAATATTCGTGTAATCATATACATAAAATATAATAAAATTTTCTTTATGTTGCCTCAAGAATTTCCTTATACGAGACAAACACCTTTCAAAGATCGATTGCCATCTATCGTCGACAGCATCGTTTAGTTAGAAGTACTAGCATTCTAAGGGAACGTTTACTTAATGATTACAATATTTCTTACTACGGCCTTGTCACAATCGGAACTCCACCGCAGAAGTTTAAAATACTTATCGACACTGGTTCCTCAGATTTCTGGGTACCGTCTTCAAACTGTAATCTGTACAACGTTGCTTGCTGTGAGTATATCATATTAACGTCGCTATTTCTTCAATATTTTGTTTGTTATATATAAAATTACATTTATATTTAACAATATTATTATTGTACATACGGAAATAATTTTTATTGCTTTTCCTATTTGAATTATTCATGTCGAAATAATTGACGTAAAGATTTAGAATAGGTACGATGCTGTAAAATTGTATCTTTTCTATCTATAGTAAAGTTTAAAATAGTTTTATCTGTAGAACTGTATCTTTTCTATCTATAGTAAAGTTTAAAATAGTGAAAGGAAACCTAAAAGTTTTAATGTTAAAAGTTTCAATATTATGAAAATTAAAATCAGCGAGCAGGTAAATATTATAGAACTAAGTTTCACAATTTATACATGCAATTTATTTTATTTATCATGCTTATTTTAAGAGTGCCAACGAACTTTGCCACAAGTTACAAATCACGTTTTAATGCAAAATATATAAATATAAATATACTTACTGATTTAATAAATGTTAATTATATATATATTTAAATTTTAAATTAATACAGAAAAATTAATGTCTAGAATTTTTAATTGTACTTTTATACTATTTCATACAGGGACACATAATAGATATGAATACGAAAAATCCAGCACATACGTGGAAAATGATACTCCATTCAATATTTTATATGATAGTGGTGAGGTGTCCGGATACTTATCTATGGATGTAGTGAATGTATGTGAGTCATTATCAAGAATACAGCATTCTATATAGTTTCAATAATAATTTATAAAAATTCCTAAAAATTATTATATCAATTCCTTGTAGATTGCTGGCCTTAATATTCGAAATCAAATATTCGGGGAAGCAATAAACGAATCGGGGACCGTCTTACGCTATGCAGAATTTGACGGTATCTTGGGAATGGGATACCCCGAAGAAGTAATTGCCAAAGGAATGACTCCCGTTTTTAATAACATGATTAAACAAGGCCTGGTGGAGCCAGTTTTTAGTTTTTATATAAATCGGCATGTATTATTCTTTATGCGCTACGGGTGTTTAAAAATATTTTTTATTTAAATAGTTTGTCTTCTTATATTATAAAATTTGTTTTCCATATTAAAAAATGTATAATCTGTACAGAAATCCTGTGTCCAAATTTGTTGGTGAACTGATATTGGGTGGCTCCGATCCCAATCATTATTTAGGCAAGATTACATATGTTAACATTACCCATAAAGGATCCTGGCAATTTACGATGGATAAGTAGATGTCTCTATATTACACGTATGTGTGTGCCAGCCATAAATTGTATATAATTGTTAATGCAATCGTACTTTAGGATTCAAATAGAACATAGCAGTTTATGCTCGAGTAGCTGTCAAGCTATTGTCGACACGGGTACTGCTGTGCTAATTGGACCACAATTGGATATTGAAGTTATTAACGAACTGATCGGAGCTACTTATATTAACGAAGAAATAATTGTAAGTAATGACACTTTCCTCTCGCTTCCATCATTAAATGAATTACAGAAATATATTAATAAACGTATGATATATATTACTGATTACATTAATATAATTTACTAACATTAAGCTTCATTTAAAGGTGGACTGCAATAGGGTTCTTAACTTGCCCAATATTAGTTTCTTCATAGGTGGTAAATCATTCGAAGTCACTCATGCAGATTATATTTATGACGTAACATCAAATTACATTTTAAATTGTTTAAAATAGAAATGGCTTGCTGCATTTAATTTATTGTAGGTCACAGAAAACAATACTACGAAATGTATGAGCGCTTTTGAGAGTCCATATTTCAGTGATGAGTATGTGAAATCGGAATGGGTTTTGGGAAATGTATTTATACGTCGATATTTTATCGAGTTTGACATGAAGAACGATCGGATCGGATTCGCTTCTAAAAAGTAATAAGAAATTCGTATCTTTTTACAGGTTTTTGTACACAAATGTTAGAATATTTAAATGACAATAAGGAGCAAAAAATTAAGACAAATATTTTAGAATACTGATTCATATGTTTATTATCTTATAATTTTTATTTGTGATTAACTAAAAATCTAAATGGTATACTTTTAAATAAATACGTACGTAATATTTTTAAAAATTAAAAAAAAATGTGGAATATTATTTTTATTAATAATTTGGTACAAAAATTATTCTTTCAACTTATTATCATATTGTTACAGAATATTATGAGTGCAACGAAATCTATTAAAGTAAAGTGTACATTCTTATTATATATTGTTGGTTTCATATACTGACTTTTTTATTTAATTAATATCCTAAAAGAAGTATTTATAATTATTTTATATATATATATGTGTATATAATAAATATTTGCCTTTCATATAAGTACCTTTTTTAATAAATAAATAAGTATAACAAGCGTTCGAATGTTTGGACCGTAAAACAATATGTATCTTAATAACGACCAATAAATGAGTAAAAAGAGATGTTTGATTAATAATTTAATTAATATGTGTCTTAAAATATATAATATATATATGTTTCGACTTACAAAGCCTTCATCAGTGTGATAATCGTAAAGCCTTACATTTTGGTGTATAAAACTATAATTGACAATAATCTGAATCATAAAAGCAGTCACATTCCATAAATCATCGGCTTCTTTGAATATACTTATAGCATATCCGCATCTTATACCATATCCGCAATAATTACAGTCAAGATATAAAATTTCTGTAGCTATAATCCTCGTTAGATGATGAGAATCGATGTTAAGAGTCCAGTGATATTAATAATAGTCAAGATGTAAAAATCTATGTTTAAATAAAATTACAAAATTAAGAATAAAATGATTTCTTGACAAAAACAGAACAAGGAGCAGTGAAAAACTTACGTCATGGTGTAAAATAAAACACAAAATTTAAATAAGAATTAAGAAGTACTGGCAGTAATTATTTGGAACTGTTTCTATTGACGAGTCCCAAGGATGACTAAAAACCAAACTATAGTTACTGTACAATGTATATTGTATATATTATATGTCAAAGACATAAAACAATAGCGTGTGTCAAAGTTAGCTATAGATTGCTATTTGAAAGTTCTTTTAAGATGTCGAAATATGATCCATCCAACATTTCTATATCTTTTTTAATTCCATTTATTTGCTCCTTGATGTGTATCATCTCTGTAATCAATCTTTTGTTATAATTATGTTCAAATTCTAGGATTCTTACATTTTCTCAATCAATTTGTATTTAATATGTATTCTGAAATAACTGAGTGTTTGGAAGGATCAGATTTTAAGTTGTTTTTGTGTTCTTTTAATCTTGTTTGCAACTGCCTCTTCGTTTGGCCTACATATGAAGCATTACAATTTTTACAATTGATTTTATAAATTGTAATTGAGTTACTTTTATGTATTATTTTTTACAGCAACACATAGTAGATATGATAGTAAAAATTCCAGTACAGTTTGACTAAACGTTGATTAAAAATCATCTGTCCGTATGTGATGTGCATGCAATGGTATAACATTGTGCCGCTATACGTACACTATCACATGAACAGATGACTTTTTAACTAACGTTTATGATTAATCAAACTCTAAATGTTTATATTTAAAAAATTATTTTATAGAAAAAAGAATAGCTTACACTTTTATTACTTAATTATATTCACGAAGTGTTTCACGTCGTAATAATATTATCCTCGAATTTCGGGGCACTCTGTATATTGTTTTTAGATAAACTTTTGTGCATTGTTTATCACAACGACTTTAAATTGCTCTCATTATTTCATTTATTTATTACACTATTTCTTTTGTACACCTATCTTACCAAGACGAACAATGCATACTTCTTAAGATTAATATTTTTTTCCAAATTTATTTAAATATATAGAGTTGCTCTAATATCTATATGTGAAATATGCGTAAATGCGCGAAACGCAATTTTTTTTAATTTATGAGAGATTAAATTTGACGAAAAGAACTGAGATTGTTTTTAGAACGTTCTGCCCAGAGAAATTAAATCGACATCGAATCGACGTCGATTTCATTATTATTTTTCACTTGGTGCCAACTCAATTGTCCTTTTCACCTATTCCTAAACACGAACACGTAAGCTCGAAAACAGCAGCCAATGAACAGTGGTAATATAATTGGCTTTGCTCTTATATTCTGTTGTGCGTTTTGACTGTAAACTGATTTGAAAAGAAAGTTTATATCTAAAACTTTTTTGATACTTGATAGCTTTAGTCGCTAGGAAAATCGAGAAATAATATGTTTCGACTTTTCATAGTAATCGCGACACTCGTCGTGCTGAGCAACTCGGAATTACTGAGGTGAGATAATGTAAACGTTGATTCAAATAAATGTTTCAACAGTAATTAGACTAAAACTATAGAAAAATGTACTTTGTGTGTCAAAATGATGTAAATAGACATTTACATCATTTTTTTGAGTATCCTTTTAAAGTTATAATTTTATCATCTGTATACCTTAAATGAGTGTCATGAAAAGACAAGTTTGCATTTAAAATACACAAACATCCTGTGTAAATAAATTAATGTAGAACATCTATTTTTTAATACTAAAATGCTTAAATAATATCTAAGATGTAACTAGATTAAGTTTATAGATGATTAATCAATTTGTCTGAAATTCGTATATACATATGTTGTACCATATTGTGTATTTATGAAACATATATACATATAGTATAATGGACTCTTTTTTTATGTTTTAAGTATTCCGTTATACCCTACATTAAAAGCGATTGACATCGATAATATCCGAAGTAATTGGCCTATAACTCTTTTGAATAGTAGTCAGATTGGTGAAGATATAATGAAACCACTGTTCAATTTTTATAAGAGATATTACTATGGCGTTATCTCAATTGGAACTCCACCGCAGGAGTTTAACGTACTTTTTGACACTGGTTCTTCAAATTTTTTTGTACCATCCATAACTTGCGAAAATGTTATACCTATGATTAATAACACTGCTTGCTGTAAGTAAATCATAACGTCACATTTTCTTCGACATTCCATTACTTTTTTATATTCATATTTATATTATATTTATACTTTACGTTAGTTACATATATCACAGTCAAAGTGTATACATTTTTGTAAATACTTATACTTTCCAGCAACACGCCATGTCTCGATTTTGGGCTTTTTATTGTCTCAGTTCCTTGATATATACACGTTCATATAAAATTTATTATAGTAAATGCATATATATATATATATATATATATATACATCGATTGTAGTAGACAACAGTAGATGTACACATTTACTGAATTGACGCTTTGACTGTAACATATACAAGTACATTTATAATTAATAACATCACTATATAATAGTTACTAATAATTATATATATGGAAACGATTTTAATTGCTTTCTTTTATTTTAATGTCTTATATCAAGTAAAAATATAGAGTATGAACACGATCTACCATATTTCAAGTACAAGTTTTATGATGATTTAAATATAATAGTTTTAAAGTTAAAATCACTGAGAAGGTAAATATTATATTACGAAATTAAGTTTCACCATCACATGTGGTTTATTTTATTTATCATACATATATTCTAAAGGTACAAATGATCGCGTTTGACATAAGATACAATTTATATATGTATGTTTATATGTTATATGTTAAGTGAAAAAATAATAAATACATTTGATATTATAACGATTGTTAATATATCTTTAAATAAATAAAGAAAAATTTATTTTTAGCATCTTTAGCAATAACTAGTTTTCTTTTACTGTTTTGTACAGCATCACGTAAAAAATATGATAGTGAGAAATCGCATACATACGTAGAAATTGGTACTCACATCGAGCTTGATTACGTGGTCGGTAGTCTAACTGGATACTTATCTACTGATATAGTGAATGTAAGTTGCTGTAAAACAACAGTTAGATTTAGTTTCAATTAATTCCATTAAATATAAAAATAATTTATAAAAATTTTTTGAAATAACACATATTGATTTTTTTGTAGATTGCTGGCATTAGTGTTCTAGATCAAACATTCACAGAAGCGATAGAGATGGATCCGGCTTTTTCTATTCTGAAATTCGATGGAATCTTAGGACTGGGTTATCCCGCAATATCTATGAAAGGAGTGCCACCCGTTTTCTCCAACATGATTGAACAAAGCCTAGTGTTGGCACCTGTTTTTAGTTTTTATCTAAATCAGCAAGTATCTTTCTTCTACGCATGTTTAAAAATACTTTTTTACTTAAAAACGTTTAAAATACATTAAAATAAGATTGTCTTACCATATAACAAAATTTGTCTTTTTAATATGGAGAAACAATATTGTTTAATATTAAAAAATATATAATCCTTACAGAAATTTTCCTAGTAAACTGATATTGGGTGGTTCCGATCCCGCTTACTATTCCGGCACGTTGAAGTATGTTAATGTAACCACGAAAGGATACTGGCAATTTACTATGGATCAGTACGTAATCATTTTTAAATTACATACATATATGAGCTACAAATTATATACCAGCTAATTGTTAATGCTGTAGGATAGTAATGAATTATGATACAACTATATGTGCGAATGGCTGTGAAGCTATCATCCACACTGGTTTTCCGGGGATATCAGGACCAGCATCGGAAATCGCAGTTATTAACAAACAGATTGGAGCATTTTATCGTGGTGAACAAACAATTGTAATTAGACGCGATTTTCACAATAGCAGTTCTTTTTTAATACAACTAAATAAATTATTGAAGTATATAGTAATAAATGCTGGATTTATTACTAATTACAATAGTATATAGGTTATTAACATTAACCTTTGTTTAAAGGTGGACTGTAACGGCATTCATGATTTGCCCCACATTTATTTCGTCCTAGGTGGTCAAATATTTCTATTCTCTGGTGAAGATTATATTGACGTGAAAGTGGTAAATATCGCCAAATAAAGGTTTAAGGCTTATAATTTTTCACCAAAAAAACTTCAGATTGATAATGTTGGAAGCGACAAAATACAAGAAAATTCTTGCACAAAGTATTATATGCATTTCTGAAGATAATAATTTTTGCATTTAATGGAAAAACTTGATAAAATATTTTCAAAATACAAAAACATTTCTTTCATTTCGGAATAAAAAATTATATTTCTTTCAGTTCGACAGCTGTCATATAGCTTATTTCGTTTTCTAATTATAATTTAATTTCAATAACATGGTTATTTATGTTACTGGAACACATAAAAAGTTTTAAATATATTTTACAAATGACAGATTACAATGTACATTAAAAAAAACACAATTTGATATAATTTGTGTTTCTTTAAATATTTTTCTCGCTTCTGATGTCATAATCTAAAATGGTAATGAGTAGCCAAAAATTATAAATTGGTTCAGAATAGAAACATTATACCGTATTCAATTTGTTGTAGCTCGATGAGAATAATATGTTATGTACAAGCGCTTTCACGAATTCGAGTGAGAATATTTGGGTTTTGGGCGTCCCGTTTTTCAATCAAATTTATATTGAGTTCGACATGGGAAACGACCGAATCGGATTTGCGCACGCAAAATAAGTATTGTTTTCTCCAGAGATTGCTTTAAATGCTAGATTTATTAAATGATAGTAATAAGTAAATAAATAAGTCCCACAATCTTCTTAGAATCTTTCTTTAAAACATTGAGATCCATGATTCTTATGCTTATTGTACTTTTTATTCGAGATTACTTAAGCGTTAATTATATTCTTAGATAAATGCGTACATAATATATTTTAAAAAATTAGAACGAAGATGTGCGACATTATCGTTATCAATTTGTTACTTTATATACCCCATTATTTCAGCATAATATTGCATTGTCACGCGATACAATGAATATAATTGGATCTGTTAATTTCAATTTTTCCTCTTTTTGAAAAATAAAATATAAAAGTATGTGTATTCTCTTCATGCCAACTCGGCATTTGTAAACTTATCTAAAGCAATAAACTGTCTTAAGCCACAATTAATGTTATTGAATACATCTTATGTTTCTAGGAAATGATAATTTTAATATAATATTTAAAAAAAATATAATTTTGTGTATTTAAATAATTATACAAAAATTATAAATAATTTTTGAACAAGTTGTTTAAACTGTAATAGAGGAATAAGAAAAATTTATTCACTACAGTAAGAGGGCCGTATTTCTGCGAATACCTCACTCTCATTTATTTCTTCATTTTCCCACATTTGAAAGTACATAAAATATATATGTGTAATTATCGGTTTGACATCATTTAAAAAAAATTTTTATTTTACATATTTGAACATATATACACATTGTACTTGCATTCGAATTATTTCTTCTTTTTTACTACGTTTTGATTGTTGACAATTATTTTCAATTAATTCACTTTTTTTCCACAATTGTACTTTCGATTAACAATTTAATTGGTTTGGATTTGAAAAACTAGTTTCTTAATCTCTCTTACCTGACGTCTCATTGCACAGGGAATGACTGAAAATTTATTGTACAAAAATAGAGATCATAATCCTTGATCATACTAAAGCATTAATGGGCATAAAAAATTAGGTATTACCTAGTCATTATATGGGTATTATTTGGACATTATTGGGCATTAGTAGACATTGACGTACAATGTTTTAAACAGCGATTTATCCCTTAGTTACACCGTTTTATTTTTCAAAATTCAATTCCTAATATCGTATTGTAAAATAAAGTATATTCCACAATTATCCTTTCAACCAGCGATTTAATTGGTTTGTGTTTGTAGATCTTTTCTATTTACTTGTCGCTTTGTTGGGGAACACATTTTACATCGATGAATAAGATTAAATATATTGATGAGAATAGCCCAAAGCGAGCCAAATTATCTAATTCTGTAAATATATTCGTCGAATTATACATTGCTTTTAGATAAATTTTTGCGTATTATTTAGCGCGTTGACTTTCAATTGCTCTCATTATTCTGGTCTCATGTTTTTGTCATCATTATTTTTATAAGCTTATCCTATCTAGACAAACGATGCATACTTTAAAGATTAATACGAGGGTGGATCAAATAAACAGGAATTTTTTTAAAAATATATTAGACGAGAATGAAAATATTCAAACGATGCATACTTTAAAGATTAATACGAGGGTGGATCAAATAAACAGGAATTTTTTTTAAAATATATTAGACGAGAATGAAAATATAAAAAAAACAAATTATTTTTCCATATAGTACTCTGCTATTATATATTAACATATTTTTCCAACGGATAAGCAGTTTGGCGGTCCCGTTTTCATAAAAAGTAGTAGATTGTGTCTGCAACTGATTGCGCAAAAATTCCTCTCTACTGGTATCGTCCACGAATCGTATTGTCCTCCTAATTCTTCTTCCAGCAGTCCAAACAAATGATAATCGTATGAAAAGATTTGTCTCAATGCGAATATTATTTGTTTGAGTCGCTAAAGAATTGGAATGATTCTAGGACGATGCCAGTATAGAGGAATTCGTGCGCAATTATCGGCAGACACAACCTATTACTTTTTATGAATAGGGGATCGCTAAACTTTCTATCCGTTGGAAAAAATATATCAATGTAGCAGGGAACAATGTAGAAAAATAATTTGTTTTTTTTTTATTTTTATTTGTATCTATTAAATAATAAAAAATATTCTCGTTTATATTTGATCCATCCTCGCATCTTTTTTATTAATCTCATTTATTTAAATACATTGAGTCATGCGTATATGCGAAATTTGAGAGTGGACAAATGCGAACCGCATTATTTAAAAAAAAATTTATTAGATATTCACGAAAAGTACTGAGGTCACTTTTGAAATGTTTCGCTCGCTTCGTCCTTCCTAACACAAATACACAAGTATATAAATAGCACGGAAACGCTATTTGGCTTTATTCTCGTTTGTTGTGCGTCCTGATTGTGAACTGATTTGAAAAAGAGTTGGAACTCTCAAATCTTCTTAAACTTAATCGCCAGACAATTCAGAAAATATGTTTCGAATGTTCCTTGCAGTTGCCGCACTCGTCGTGCTAATCAATTCGGAGTTGCATAGGTGAGCATGTGTAAACATTGATTCACAATAAATACTTTAACCATAATTAAAACAAAATGTACAAAAATGTACTTTGTGTGTTAGAATAATGTGGACAGACAAAAAAAATGCTTTAAATTTCTTTGAGGCTTGCACTTTAATTTTGTTTACGTCTTAAGTGAAATACGTATCATGAACGGAGAAGTTCGCATCTAAAATATATAACGTTATTTGATAGGGAGGGCTTCATTTGCTTATAAAACGATTCCCTAGTTTCATTTGCACACAGCATGTTGCACACATGACAATATTGGCATATTGCACACACGACAATATTGCACACACGACGCTATTAGTTTAATATACTTCATGCGCTTGATACGCGTACTAACTGGTAACTTTCTATTAAATTATTTTATTTTTATAGCTACGTATTTAAAGAATGATGTACTAAAGTGGTACAATACGCATCAAAATGATTACTTAAATACACATATCATGTTTATAAGTTTCGCTGAAATTAAGATAATTTATTAAAAAATTACCAGTACCTGTATCAAGAGCACAATGTAAATTAGGCCAATAGCGTCGTGTGTGCAATGTGCTGTGTGCAATACTGTCGTGTGTGCAATATGCTGTGTGCAATATTGCCGTGTGCAAACAAAGCTGCAATCGTTTTGTAGATAACGGGATCATCTCTATTTGCGTAAATAGATTAATGCAGATTGCCTTTGATTGAGACTTACGTAATATTTAGAAATAAGAAGTATTTAAATTAAGTTTAAAGATGATTTATCAATTTGTTTGAAATTCGTATATATTGTACATATGTTGTGCGATATTCATATATATCTGTTCATATATTTGTGTTTTTATGAAACATATATGCGTACAATATAACAGAATTTTTTAAATGCTTTTAAGAATTCCGTTGCACAAGACATCCTCTGTTCGAAAATCGATTGGAATCGATCATCAACAAGGTGATTTGACGTTTACTAGCATTGTAGAGGAACCGTTACTTAATTTTCGGAATGCTCAATACTATGGCGTTATTTCAATTGGAACTCCACCGCAAAAATTTAATGTACTTTTCGATACTGGTTCCGCTAATTTCTGGGTACCATCCGTACACTGTGACATTGATGACTTAACTTGCTGTAAGTATTATAACATTATTTTTTCAATGTTGTGTTTATATTTATATTTATGTTTATGTTCGTAGACAACAAAAAGGGAAAAGTTTGTGCTAATTGGAATTGGCATTGCAAACCGTGCGCTAATATTTTAATAAATAATATTTAATTTTAAACTATTAAAAACATTTCTTACAATAATGTTAATATTAAGTATTATTTATTCTTGCCACACCTACAGAATTTTAATGAAGTATAATATTAGGTGTTAAACTTAATTCCTGCCGTTTTTTGTCTCCAAAATTGATTTGTTTCG